ATGTTGGAGAATCAGGTATCATTTAATTTTAAGAACGCGGACTTATTAGGCTTATACAGTGCAATTAATTCCTGGAAATGGACTGAGTTAATGGATACTCAAAATGTTGATGATGCATGTGCTTGTCTTAACAGTATAATTATGAAATTGTTTGAGCAATATGTACCTAAAAAACCAAAACCACGAGAGAACTACCCACCCTGGTTTACAAGAGAGGTAGTTAAACTGATAAAACTTAAACAATATCACTGGAAGATGTTCAAAAAGCATACTCTTTTTTCACATAAAGAGAAGGCACGTGAATTAACTTTAAATATCAAAAGGGAAATTAGGACTGGTTTTGATAATTTCGTGAAGTTGGCTGAAAATAAAGTTAGATCAGATCCGTCACAGTTGTGGTCGTACATCAACACTAAAAAAGGAACATCTAGAATCCCGGGTACAATGGAAAACGGCAACAACGGGGAAAAATTAAAAGACCCACTTGCAATTGTCAATGGTTTTGCTTCACATTTTAGTAGTGTCTTCAGGAAGGACGATACAACCAACCCAAAGTTTGATACTGAGGAAGCTGTCTGTGATAAGGTGGACTGTGATAATAAAATCTGTGATAACCTGCAATATCAAATCTGTGATTCTATCTGTGATACGACGACCAACGTACCTGTTTTACACAATTTTTCAATTGACGTCAATGATATTTTGAAGGCAGCACGCAAGATAAAAGCCAACTATACAATGGGCATTGATCACATACCCGGGTTTTTTGTGAGGGATTGTATTTCGTGTCTTAGCACTCCACTATGTTATTTGTTTAATTTAATAATGCAGACATGTACATTCCCCGAATGCTGGAAAATTGCAAGAGTGTGCGCGATACATAAGTCGGGATCTAAATCAGACATAAAAAATTACCGGCCGGTTGCGATTATCCCTAATTTTGCAAAGCTATTTCAAATTATATTGTCTAACAATGTTTATAGTCACATTATGCCTGTCATATCAAATTCTCAGCATGGCTTTATGAAAGGCAGATCCACCTGTACTAATTTAGCTGAATTTACACAGTTGGTCTCCAATGCATTGAATTTAAAGAAACAAATTGATGTGATATACACGGATCTTTCAAAAGCCTTTGACACTGTAAACCATAAACTTATGTTAGAAAAGTTACGATTAGTTGGTATGTGTGATAGTTTAGTCTCACTATTTAAATCAATTTTAATTGGTCAAAAGCAGTTTGTTGAGTATCAGGGCTATAGATCTTATGTTTATGAATGTTCCTCTGGTGTTTGTCAAGGTTCAAATCTAGGGCCGCTTTTATTTCTAATTTTTATGAATGATGTTGTTGCGCATTTTAATAAGGATTGTTATCTATTTATGTACGCCGACGACCTGAAAATAGTGAGAACTATTAAAGATGTAACGGACTGTGTAATGTTACAAAACGACATTCAAACATTAGAATTATGGTGTCTTAATAATAAGTTGCTCTTGAACGATACCAAATGTTGCGTTATGTCATTCTTTAGAACATTAAATCCTATTTTATACGATTATAAAATTCATAATCAGGTTCTAAAGAGATGTACAATCTTTAAAGATCTAGGAGTAGTAATGGATCCATCCTTAAATTTTATACCACATTATGCATATATATACTCAAAGGCATTAAGTATGTTAGGTTTTATAATAAGAAACACCAGGGAATTCAAAAATACTGAATGTTTGATGTTGTTATATAATACATATGTAAGATCAATACTTGAATACTGCACGATTGTCTGGTGTCCTTACTATAAGGTGCACATTAAGCTCTTAGAAAGCATTCAGCGTAAGTTTTGCAAATATCTGTATAACAAGCAACAAGGGCACTATCCAGAACGCAATTATCCACATCCTAAATTACTGGAAGATTGTAAAGTATTAGAATTAAGATCAAGACGTGAATATCTGTCACTTATGTTTCTTTATAAATTATGGAATGGTTTGATTGTTAGCAGTAATTTGTTAAGTCAATTTAATGTGCACGTACCTCGTACTAATGCCCGTAACCCTATATTTTTTTCCACAACTATTACCAAAAGTAACCAGCATAATCATTCTCCTGTTTTCGATATGTCTCACGTGTACAATAAGTATAGGCAGGCTTTGGACTTATTTTCTGGTTCGTTGTCTCAATTCCGATATTCTTGCACCGACATAGTTTTTAAGTAAATGATTGTGTTATAAGACTGTAATGTATTGTTGTTCTACGGGTCCTTTAAAGAGCCTTGTGCTCGCTGGGCAAATATACTTTATTATTATTATTATTATTATTATTATTAAATGACAAGTACAGACTGATCATATTTTGTACATTTTAGATATGATTTATTCGGCAAACTTTCGAGCTGACGTCATCAAGTTTTTGGAGGGGATAAGCAAATATATTTTGACTAAACATTTATTATGCTCTTTATGACCTTAAAACATCTGCAAGATTTCAGAGCATTCGGTTTTGTAGTTCCTGATTAAATCAATAAAATATATTTACGCATTCATTAATTTTTTTGAGTCACCCTGTATATGCAAATCCAAAAAATATGAATGGAGTGATAGATCACAAGTACAGACTCATCATATTTTGTACATTTTAGATATGATTTATTCCACAAACTTTTGAGCTGACTTATTACTTAGGTTTTTATTCACTAAATCAATGTTTAATTTCATATCTGTTAAATCTTTTATTCCCAAAATACCATCGAAAAAATCGTGGAAATCATAGAGCAAGAAGTTGATTATTTTATCAGTTTTAAGTTCTGGAAATGCGGGTATATTGGCTTTAAATTCTAAAATTTTTTCACCTGTAGCCGTTTTAATTTTACATGGTTCTCTAAAAATCTCGTGGGGATAATAACGTTCTGCAATCCATGGTCTTAATATAGAAATATTACATCCTGTATCAATTAAAAGTCTCATTGGAGGGTTACTGATTTTTACATATGGCAATGAATTGCAAAAAGTTATGTTATTTATTTCTGTTGTTATCTCGGATCGTAAAATAGGCTGTTTGATGGAAAATTTGGTTCAGTATTTGTTTCGATATCTTCGTTATTAATTTGCTGATAATCATAATTGTCTGTTTGGTAGGAAAGTTCGTCGTTCGATTGATACTGATGGTCTGTTTGATCAATATCATTAGCGGGATTTTCGTAGTTATTGTAATCGCTTTCACTATTTGTAGCGAAACAACATGCTCCTTGTTCTATTTGTTGTTCGTCATCTATTTGGTATAATTCTTCAGATATGAAATTTTGACTGGGTTTAGAGGCGTTATGATGGAAATTAGGACGACTGAAATATTGTGGCGACCTATATGCAATTGACATGGGCTGTGCTTGGGTTCTAATCGTGGGGTTTCGAGATGTTGTTGACATTGGGGTTGGTTTTTCGACTGGTATCTGACCAGTTGGCCTAAATGCATTTTTGGGTCTCACGAATACTTGGGAATTTGTTAGGAATCTCTGTTTTGGTGGGTTTGGTTTGTGGTTGACTAAAAAATTGCGGTTGTTGAGTTTCGTACTGGTGATTAAAAGACTGTTGGACTGGATATGCGTTTTGGGGTCTGACATAATTATTTGAAAAATTGGGACGATTGTGAGATGGCGGCAACTGTTGTCGAAATGGTTGGTTTTTTTGGGGCAATTGTTTATTGTGTTGAACAAGATGGGCGAAGTTCTGTGTATATCGGAAGTTTTCTTCTTCTACGACATAAGACATGGCGGATTCCAGAGATGTGGGGTTTCTTAATCGGATTATACTCTGTAAAGTGCCAGAAAGACCACGAAGAAAGGTTTTCAGAACTAAGCTGTCATATTGATTCGAGTATACTGTTTTTGTGGCGTCATTCATTTCTAAAACGTCAAACGAATTTAATTTGGTCGAAAGTTTACTCCTCATAATTTGTAAACGTTTGCCAAATTCTAACGGAGCTTCGTTTTTAAAAGGAAAGGCAGTGATTAAGTCTTGCTCAAGGCAATCTAAATTGCGTTGATCTCCGAAGTTTGCGCGGAGGGCCTTTTTTATCAGTGACCATGTATTTAACTCTGTTCTAGTTCCTATTAAAATTTGAGCTCTGCCAGTTAATTTACCAACAACAACTCTCAATAAATACGATTTTACGTGTGGAGCTGAACTAACGTCAATGTTTTGAAAAAGATATTCGCAAGATGATATAAAAATTTCTAAGGTATCTTGATCACCATTGTATGACGATATTGTATCTACCGTCATGTATCTACATACAACCTCATGAGTTGACAAAATTATTATCAGGCATTTTTGTTTCTTTTTTGTTTTCAAGACTAACTATAGTTTCAAAATGTCTTATTAACGAATCTAGTTCGTCACTCGAATCGCTACTCATAAAATTAAATATTACTTAGTTAATTAATTAATTTATATTTATATATATTAAGATATATATAAATTCTGAGAAAAGAAAAACAAGAACAAAACGAAAGCAAAACGATTTTTGCGTGAATTTCAAAAGGGAAAAAGAAAAGAAAAAGAAAGATGGGATGCTCAGACTCACCGTAGCGTGATGTTGGCTTTCCACTTGAAGTAATTTTCTTCCAGGCCTAAGTTGATGTTGGGTCCTCTTCACTTTTCTTCAGGAACCTCTTCGAGTTTGTCGTGATGCAAATCTTCGAAGCGGCGTTGGTACTTCTTTGTTTTACGAATAACGCTTAAGGAATTAAAATTCCACGTCGCGAAAACTTTTGTTCGATACACGTTTTTCACGACCGCGTTATCCTACCGACTGCGCCAATTAACTTGTTGATTCAGACAAGTCTCAAAAAATTTTATTCAGAAGCACCAACTTACAGCGTAACAAGTTTATTAATGATTCTATTACATTTGAAAATTTGGTTTATATACAATTGGATTATTTGTATTATTAAGATTACAGAGTTCATGTGGACTTGACTATCTCTTGGACTTTGGGTTGCTCGTCAACATAACTCGAGGGTCCAGTGCCACATGCAGAGAGGACGGGATATAGCTAGATGGGACAAAGGAAGTATATGGATCTATTTGTTGGGATTTTCTGGAAAGGTTTGGAAGAAGTGATTTTTAAGGGGTCGTTAACAAGAATTTCGACCCATGATGGACAGCCGAGACAAATCAGCTCGCGACAATGACCTTTTTGGGGTTGCACGTGCCCTCGTAACAAATGCACTTGTTACATTTCAATAACTCTTTTTCGACTACTATCTCACCCAGACATCAAATTTGGACTCAGCGTTATACATCACTTTTCTCCGATTTTTATTTTGGTCATATTAACCGATTTTTCTTGTGGGCAGTTTTTAATTGTGGTTTTACTTTAGCCTAAAATAATATAAATAAATAATAAAGTCCATCAAAGATAGCTTTATTTAAGATTTACAATGTAAAAACCAAGGCCTGATTTGTGTATGCATTCGCGACAATATTGTCTTGAAAAATTTAGTTGGTTATCGCTATTCCAGCAAGTAGTAATTTCTCTTGAAGTACTCCGTCGTCCACTTTTATAAATTTTCATCAGTTGTTGTTGATCACGCGGCTTCACAAGTGGTGGCTTACCGGGAATTTTACCTTTTATTCCGATGGTACCTCTGTCTGCGTAATATTTTACGACATTTACCATCGACGACTAAGCTATTTGGAACAAATCTTCACTTTTTCTTAGCGATTTTCCCTTGAGGTACTGCGAAATTATTATTTTCAGAACTTTTACTACAACTAGCTCGCCGCTAACTATTTTTTTCTAAATAAAACCAACACTAGCATGAAATGCTACGATCCCTATAATAATGGCAGCATTTACCAGCTACTACGTTTGTATTTCGATGGTATACTTAGCAAATTATCTCGGGTGTCCCAACATTTAAATGTCAGCAAAAATTGCACATTTTTTAGTCAGGTGACAATTTTTGCACTCTAAGAAAATTTTTTAATTTGCAAAATACCTCACTCTCTGCCAAAATAGATGCCCATGCAAAATTTGCATTTAGTCCAAACGAATTGAATGATATCAAAAATATCTACCGGATTTTTTTGAGAAATTGTCTGTGTCCCAATATTTAGTTGTTAGGGCTCGTAATAATAAGTTACTGGAAAATCGTACAGCTACGGTAGACGTTAACTCATAGCGTTAACAGTTTATGAATGCGACGTTTACATAACACGGGGGCAAAGAAGCGTATACAGTATCTAGAAAGCTTATTCATTTGCAAATTTGTCAACACTGATTGACATTCACAAAAATTTAGTGACGTGGCCGTTCCAAATTCCGTTCGTAAATTATAAATGAATATTATAGAGTGTACTGAGGATCGAAGTACAATTGTATGCCTTTACAATGAAACTAATTTTGGTATTCTGGGAGTTAGTTTTCGTTGGGGTACTTTGTCTCGCTCAGGAGAAAAGACCCACCGAGTGTTATTTTTGTTTCGGCGCGTGCAAAGTTCCCATGGTTAGTGTAAAGTGTAAGAACTATACCGTAGCATGTGTGACAAGTATTACCAAATTAAGTAAATATAATAATAATTATACCATTACTGTGTTGGTAAACGAATTGCTTGCAGAAGCTGGATACATGGACGAATTCAGATCTTGCGTTACCCAGAACTATATTACAGAACACTGCGTCAACAACACTAACATGAGGTGTTACTATTGTTATACTAATTTGTGCAATTGGGAAGATTTATTTTTCGAAGAAGCCAGTTCGTCACAAATGCATTCGTTGTCATATATACTGTATTGTATACCTTTGTTTATTATTTTAATAAAATTCCAGTAGTGGAAACAAAATTATTCTTTATGATCTTGTACGAAACAGCTAAATGCTAAGAACCAGTTATGTGGGATTTCTGTATTGTTATGGTGTTAAATGATTAACGATGTCTTCTAGATAAATTATAAAAATATCTAATTGTTACAAATCAGTGTCGTCTAATAACGCAACTTCTCTGCCAGCTGTCACACCGAAGCCTATGCAACTGACTCTACACTCTAACAACTCTACCTATTCATACACTACCCGATATGCGACTGATTACACAATTCTATCAGATACAATTAAGTATATTTAATTATAGTAAGAATCAGGAAGCAATGGGCCTGTCTAATTTGCAGACCACAGTTTATCTTGCAGACTGGGGGTGAAAAATGCTGCAATCATGTCAAAACTCGATATTTCTTAATTTTTCAATACGAAGATTGTTGATTCAAAATTTCAACCCGTTCGGAAAAATCGTTAAAAACTACCCCCACAACAAGCTTGCAGACTGGGGCTTAAAAATACTCTAATCAAGTCAAAATTTGACAATCGTTAGTTTTTCAATACGAGGATTATGGGTACAAAAATTTCAGCCTATTCGCAGAAACCCGCAAAAATCACCCCCCAAAACAACTTTGCAGACTGGGCGTTAAAAATGCTCCCATCAAGTCAAAATTTGATATTCGCTAGTTTCTCAATACGTGGATTATCGATACAGAATTTCAGTCTATTCGAAAAAACGCTCAAAAATCACCCCCAAAACAACCTTGCAGACTGGGGATTAAAAATGCTCCAATCAAGTCAAAACTCGACAGTCGCTTATTTCTCAATACGAAGATTGTTGATACAAAATTTCAAGCCGTTCGGAGAAACCCTTAAAAATCACCCCCAAAACAACCTTGCAGACTGGGGGTTAAAACTGCTCCAATCAAGTCAAAACTCGATATTTCCTAATTTGTCAATACGAAGATTGTTGATACAAAACTTCAACCCGTTCGGAGAAATCGTTGAAAACTACCCCCAGAACAACCTTGCAGACTGGGGCTTAAAAATACTCCAATCAAGTCAAAACTCGGCATTTGCTTATTTCTCGATACGAAGATTGTTGATGCAAAATTTTAACCCGTTTGGAGAAACCGTTAAAAGCTACCCCCAAAACAACCTTGAAGACTGGGCCTTAAAAATATTACGAGTATTACCAAATCGAAACTTGGTGTTTAGTTTTTATCTGTACGATAAGTGATAATGCAAAAAATCAGCCTTTTTTAAGCTGCTCTTAACAAGTACCCAAAGCAATCTTTCATACGGGAGCTTAAAAATACTCTAATTGAGTCGAAAGTTACCACTTGCTGAGTTCTTTACACAAAAAATTATCATGTCAAATTTTAGTCACCTTGAAGCAACTTATAAAAATGATTGATACTTGACATTCATTTAAAGTACAAGTAGCAGAAAAATTTCAGACACATTTAAAGAGACAGTACATTATGTCTAAAGTAGGTGCGCACCATAGAGGTAGAATGAGAGGAGGGAAGATTGTTTGAAAAAATGCCCGGTACCGCGCTTTCTACTAGGGTCATAAATGGTTCTTCCAGTTCCTCCGAGAAACTGGTTGTTCCAGTGGCGTGCTCGAAAGCGTTTGCGGAATACTAGGCATAAAACAAAAATAATTTCATAAGAAAGCATATAAAAGCAGCAGCAGCAAATTTACTTGAGTTTTTAATTGGTAAAGATTCGTTGCTACGGTCGTTGTGTTATCTCCACCTTTGCGCAAACCGAGCTAATTCCTATAATAATTAATCACCTAATAATCTTTATATGCATTGTTAATTATGAAAAATATTGTTTTGTTACCTTTTATAACTGTATTTGAGTGCATATACACTGACCGGCAAAAAACCTGCCACGCTGTAAAATTTCGCAAAACCAAACTTTAAAAATTGTTAATTTAACTAGTGATCGTTATTTTATTAAAGAACCATTCACTGTTGACACATGATGTATAAATTAGCAACAAAAAACAAGACAAATAAACGCAGAATTAAATTTAATTTAACAAAATAACAGAAACAGAGCGACAATTTGGGAGACGTTGTAAGGAATGCGGTAGTGTCGAAAACACAAACGAAATGTTGCAATGTTAACAAACTGCCAACTTCCGTACATCCCTCTGGCGAAATCAGGTGGCATAATATTTAGGTTAATGAAATAGTAGAGTTAGCAATATTTAGTTTATTTAAGGCGTGTGTATGAATTGGGAAAAAGAGAAGCAGAAGTAGAGTGATAGAAGTAGTTATTGTTAGTGTAGTAAAGAACAGTGAAATAAAGATGTGAAAGTGAGTTGTTAGTATGTTTCCACCCTGGTAACCACCCATCAAGGGCATCATGGTAAACGGGGGTTATCACATGGCGACCCTGCTAACTCCTGGATTTGGAAAACTGGTTGAAGACTTGGTACCATAAAAGTGACAACATGGGGAAAACCGTGTCTAAAGACGGTACAGAAGAAGAGAACATCATCGTGCAAGCAGGAAACAGTGGCGGCGTTTCAGCTACTGCGACAACTTCGACGTTCGAGATATTGGGGATCGTGACGTTTCTCGGATTGGTGGCGATGGTGGCGTTCCTCATCTATTTAAGATGCAAGAGAAAATTGGAAAAGAGGATTCGCAGGGAAATCATCAAGAGTAGAGTCGACCTGGGCGAAGACCGCGTTTAAAACTAGTAAGCAAAAAATTTTTGTGTTGCTATGTGCGCAAGTAGATTAACTAAGTACAAAGGGTAAATTAGGAATAATTTTTAGGAGATAGATAGTATTTTGAACAGGGGCGGCTGGTCAGGGGCGGCAGGGTCGGCCACGCCGTACCAGTCATTTTAAAATACTTAGTAAGCGTTGAAATTAGAAAATAAAAAAAGAAATAAAGTTTGAATGTACGTTAGGATAGATCATATATATTAAAAATATATTTTATTATATTGTAGGTACAAAATAAAGCATTTGTTGCTAATTTTAAATGCTGATAAACACGCTTTGCCGGCGAGATTTCGGCAAGCCGTACCCAGGAATGCATTATGCTCGATGTTTCGACTTCGTAGCAGCTTACGGTTTCATCGTTCTCTTTGTCTAGTACACTGTAGTAGACAAAGACCTGGCGGAACGTATGTTGTGCCAGGTCCGGCGAAATCCTCCTTCGCCGTACCCAGCAACGCGAATTTAGTTTTTAAAACGCTTAATA